TCTCTCCTGGGACAGAGCCTTGCCCAAGAGGCTTCAGTGAGGAGACCTCCTTAGCCCAGGACTGTGTGCCTCTGTGCAACTCCTGGAGCAAGTGTCTCTGCCTTCACCTTTCCTGGTCTATTATCCTATTCACCCTGTACAGGGCCCAGCTGATGCCAACTCCCTACAGTTTTTTTAAAAAATATATTTTATTGATTTTTTACAGAGAGAAAGGGAGAGGGACAGAGAGTTAGAAACATCGATGAGAGAGAAACATCAATTCAGCTGCCTCCTGCACACTCCCCACTGGGGATGTGCCCACAACCAAGGTACATGCCCTTGACCGGAATCAAACCCGGGACCCTTCAGTCTGCAGGCCACCGCTCCATCCACTGAGCCAAACCAGCTAGGGCTCCCTACAGTTTAAATGTAATTAATCCCTCTGCTTTCCCAAAGCATTTTGTTTTCACCTGTAAGGATCCTGGGCACACGTTCTAATGTCATAATGACTTGGGCACAAGCATCGATGATAAACTTGGAGAGCAGGAGCAGAAGAGTCTAATCTGTGTCGCCTTTAAGTCTTTATGTCTCACAGTTGCCACTCAAATTAACATTGGGTAATCTGGATGTCTAACAGATAGACTGACATACAATAACATCTAGAAAATAAGAAATGTGAAAAAGGAAGGGGAGTGGCTTTATCTGACAGGAAGGAAAACTTTCTCCAACTCATTAGAAAATATCTGAACCTGGAAGGAGGGGGACCGAGGAGGATGCAGGGAGAGAGACATTGGAGGATAGGAAGACAAAGGAAAGGACCCGGGTGACAAAGAGGTTGCAAGCCCTCACATCCTAAAGGTAAGGAGGGTTTAACATTTGGTAATGAAGCCACCGCCAAGTGAGGAATGGGAGGGGAGGGACCTGCGAATCGCAGGGAAACCTGACCCGAAAAGGAGGAAGCGAGGCCCAGAGCTGAGGCTCCCAGGGATGAAATAAGGTGACTTGTCTGAACAACTGCACCAGGGCCATCAGTATTCCACTCCAATCTGCCGCTGCGTGAAAATGCGTGACTCAGCTGAGTTCCTTGGGAAGCCTTTGTTCTTGTTTTAAGGCCAGTCCTCATATTCTCTTGCACCCAAAAAGAAAAATAAAATGCAACTCCAAAGCCACTGCCATTAGGTTTTAGAGAATAAACTTTGCTTATAGATGTCGTATTTCGCTCTGCCTACCTCCTTTCTCCAGCCAGGTTTCCTCAACTTTCTGCCTCTCTTCTTATCCAGAGCAATTTGACATCTTTCTGCAAATTTGCACCTTGAATAGTAAGCTCTCTGAAATGTAGAGAGCGCCTGGGAAGGCACATGAGCTATTGTTAGCTGAGTCCAGTGGCGGGTATGTTGTCAGCCTGACCTTTTAGCTCAGGCGCCAGGGGGTGGGTTTCACCACTAAGTTCAGCCAGGCGCCAGGAACGGACACCATTATCCGGGCTCAGCCAGGAGTGACAATTAGAAAGAAGCCACAAGAATGAAGAATTGCAGCTTGATCTTTAACCGTGATTTCACATGATTTCCTTTGTCTTAAACTCTAGTAAAACTTCCTGGAATCATGCTGTATATAATAAAGGCACTGCTCTAGCTCTAGGTCACTGTCTCTCCACCCGAGAACAGTGTCCCACCTGGTCCCAGCTTTCCCTACTGTCTCTGTGTCTATCTCTTTCTTTTTCTCAATCCCCAGTCGCCCCTACTCGGGACTTGTCTGCTCTCTAGCCGTGCTGGTCTCGGCCAAGAGAGAACACTTATACTGAAATATAAAATTTCCCGAACCAGCCAGTCATCTGCCTGAAAGACTCTGAAATTCTGGTGGGGAGGGGGAAGCGGGAACTTGCTGGAAGTTTGAGTTTGGAAAGTGGCACTCCCCATCCTGATTCTCAATTTCCATTTCTTCTCAGAGCACGAATGCTTGTCCTGTAGCTGGTTAAAAGTGGTTATGGACGTAATCAAATATGAAATGGAAGATTCCAGAGAAAAAAAAACTCTCCCTCATGTAAAGGAAAACAGAACTCTGTGGTGAGAAAACAAAACAAAAGCCAACTTTCCCGTTTGGTCTTGCTGGCTAACTCCCAGCACCATTTTGCTTCGTATTTCTGATGGGCTCTCCCATGAGAACGCTTCTTGGGTCACTGTGCATCCAGGGTCAAGCTACACAGTAAGAATGGGGCCGCTTTACAGCCTCGTAAAACTAGCCGGTCCTGCACCGAAACCTTCCTTATCTACCATTCCTCTCCCTCCTATAGAGCCTGTCCTTAAGAATTTAAACCCAACCAGTTTTTCTCCTGCTCCAAGTTTGAAATGAAACTTTGACACATGCTAACAATCTAACTTATCTGAGCTGCTTGGCTTTAAACAGCGATTCAAAGTGTTAAACAAACTCAAGAGTCCGGAGGCTTTGCTAGAAATAAATGATAGATTTATTCAAAGGTCCCAGGGTTTGCAAACTGGAAACCAACTGGGCAATAGAGAGTGTTCCAAAGAAGAAAGACAAGCTGAGGGTTCTTTTAGTAAAAAGTACATTCCTTTTTTAAAAAAAATATGTTAATGATTTCAGAGAGAGGAAGGGAGAGTGAGAGAGGCAGAAACATCAATGACTAGAACTATTGATCTGCTGCATCCTGCACGCCCCCTACTGGGGATGGAACCCGCAACCCGGTTCAAGGGTGCACGCTCAACCCCTGAGCCACACCTGCGGGGCAAAAGTACATTCTTCTTCTTCTTTTCTTTTTTTAAAAATATATTTTATTGATTTTTTACAGAGAAGAAGGGAGAGGGATAGAGAGTTAGAAACATCGATGAGAGAGAAACATCGATCAGCTGCCTCCTGCACATCCCCTACTGGGGACCCTTCAGTCCGCAGGCTGACGCTCCATCCACTGAGCCAAACCGGCCAGGGCCAAAAGTACATTCTTGAGAAGAAACAGTCTGCATTCTTAGCCTCTGCACTGGTCCCAGAGGGTGACCCTCCAGAAGACAGGTGGTTTGGACCATGGTTGTCAAGTGGCCTGGGTACCTGAACATCCTTTCCTCAGTCCTTCGGGGGTAACCAGAGGGTTATCTGGAGGTCTGATGTGTATCAGGCATTGAGGCAGGACTGGAAAGTCCAAAAGTTCAAGTTCCTAGGATAGTTAAAACAAGAATAGAATCCTTTCCTCACCCCTCAACCGGCTTGATTGACTAAAGCGACTACATTTTTCTTTCTTCACCCTATCCCTCGGAGGGGTAACCTAGGACAGGCGCTCTTACAAAACAAAACTCCAGATGGGAGGAAAGAACCCCAAATCGGAGTCCTATCTTTCAGTACCTCTTAAAGCTCTGTTGTCTTGCACAATTGGCTTGATGACTATTTCTTTACTACAGCTGCAGCCCTGACGAAAAATGCTACCCAAGGCACAGCGAGGATGTCCTTGACTTACATCCTGTTTTCTGGGAAGAGATGACCACCGCAGTAACTGAGCTGGGAAGCAGACAGATTGCTCTTGGCGGCGTCCACAGCGGTTCAAAGTACCGCAGTTGACCGGAATCACACCCTGCAGTTCTCCCTCCTCCTGTGTGCAAATGCCAACAGAGAGAGCACTGCACCAGCAGATTATCCGCAAGATCGGT